TTTTTTTTTTTCAATTTCAATTACTTGTAAAACAATTTGTATTACATTCTTACCTCTAAACATATCCACAACATTCTTGCCTCTAAGTTAGAGAGATATGTATTTGATGGGTGTAGTGTTACATGGATAAGGAATTGCCTGGGTTGCCACATCCAAAGAGTTGTAGTCAAAGGGTCAGTGTCCAATTGGTTATTGAGTGGTGTTGCTCAGGTCTTTGTATTGGGACCAGTACTACTTAATACCTCAATTAATGATATACATTTTTGGATTGAGTGCACCCTCAGCAAGTTTGCAAATGACACCAAGCTGACTGGTGCAGTTGATACACTGGTAGGAAGGTACAACATGCAGAGGTACATTAAGAGTCTTGAGGAATGGGCCCCTGTAAAAAGCATGAAGTTCAACAGGACCAAGTGCAGTGTCCTGCACCTGAGTTGGGGCAATCCCCAGTATCAGTCTAGACTGGGGAATGACTGTCTTGAGAGCAGCCCTGCAGAGAAGGACTTGAGGGTACTCATGGATGTCAAATCGGATATGATCTGGCAATGTGTGCTTGCAGCCCAGAAACCCAACCCCATCCTCGGTACATCAGAAGTGTTGAGGGAGGTGATTCTGTTCCTCTACTCCACTCCTGTGAGACCCTACCCTGAGCACTGCATCCAGCTCTGGGTCTCCAGTAAAATAAAGACATGGACATGTTAGAGCAAGTCCAGAGGAGGGTCATGAAAATTATCTGAGGACTGGAACACCTCTCCTATGAAGAAAGGTGAGAGTGCTGGGGTTATTCAGCCCAAAGAAGGCTTCAGGAACACCTTAATGAGGCCTTCTGATACTTAAAGGGAGCTTGTAAGAAAAAACAGAGGAAGACTTTTTACCAGGACCTGTACTGACAGGACAAGGGGCAACAGTTTTAAATTGAAAGAGTAGATTTAGATTGGATATAAAGAGAAATATTTTATGATGAGGGTGATGAGCCAATGGAACAGGTTGCCTAAAAAAGTTGTGGATTTCCCATCATTAGAAGTGCTCCAGGTCAGGTTGGACAGATCTTTGTGCACCTAATCTAGTGGAAGATGTCCCTCCCAATGCCAAAGGAAAGTACTACATGAATTTTAAAGGTGCCTTCCAGCCCAAAGTGTTCTATGATTCTAGGATTCAATAATGCTTTTCCATGAATAATTAAAAACCTTAAAGGGACGTCTGTTTCTTCCATACTGGACTCTATGGTCTTTTTTTTTTCCTGCATACAGTAGATTGTTTCTGGTTTTGTTTTTTAATTTTCTGCTACGCAGACTGTATTTAGAGCAGTAGAGAAAGGGAGAGTAAGGACCCATGATCAAGGAATCCTGAGCATGGCTAATAGTTCTGAACCCAATATCATGGAGAAAGAAAGGAATGAAAAGGAGAAAGCAAAATGAGAAGCAATATATAGTTCCATTTCATTTCTTCATGTCATGTTATTATCAATACAAATCTGAACATCTGTGTTATTGATGATTCCTGTAGCCATTTAGTGAATTAACATCACATCATTAGACAGAATTTTCACATCACATATGAATCTCATACCTTGATAACTTTCAGTATGACATTACATTTGGCTTATTGTTTTTCCTAACACACTAACTATACTTACTTTTTAGAAACATAGATGTGAAAAAATCCCATTTAAATTAGTAGCAATTAATTGCATGACTGAAATAAAACTCCAATGATATGTTAAGAAAATATTAGCATATTTATCAGGGAAACTTTGTGATTACTTTCAAAATGTCTTTTTGATAGAAACACTCTGAGACCAACTCACCAGTCAGCATGAACTGATAGGCATTGTCAGAGATGGAGAAGATGTGTGGAGGGGCCTCCTGGCGCTTCTTGCCTCGGTAGGCCAACACCACCTCCGGGTTGTACACCGGCAGCCACTTGTAGGGGTTGACAGTGACGCAGAAGAGACCCGAGTAGGTCTGTGAGGAAGGGAGACAGCACGTTGGCTTCCACCTACCCTGGCAGAGCAGTTCCTCCTCGCTGCCCAGGGGAAGACTGCTGCTGGTACTTACGTAGATCATCCAGGCTGCGTAACGCTCTTTGAGGTTGTACAGCACAGCGGGTTCGTGGAGGTGGGTCATCATGGCCATGTCCTCGATTTTATCATACTTGGGAGGGTTCATGGAGAAGATCTGATCATCCTTCACGGTCAGGGTCTGCCAAAGAAAAGAAAGACATGTATTTGCTATTTAAAAGTCTGCAGCAGGATTAAATTGTATTCTCAAGCTTTGCATTTTTTTTACTCACTTCTCCACCTTCGGTCTTGACAGTGACCTTTCCTGATTCTTTGCTCTGGATTGTGCTTTTCACATAGGATTCCTTAGGATGGGTCACAAAGACAGCTGTCTTGGCATCGAAAGGCTTGTTCTGGGCCTCGATTCTCTCCTTTTCTGACTTTCGGAGGTAAGGAGCCGCCTCCCCAAAGATGGCCATCTCAGAGTCAGACGACATGGCTGCAGTTTACTGCATGCAGCACGAGACAAGACTGAAGTGGAGAGACATACTGGTGTTGAGTGTTGGAAGAAATGTCTTTGTACCACACACCTGACTCTCTTTAGCGTTCTGCTCTGCCTATTCTTATGGTTTCCTTTGCTGTCTTGACTGCTTTTCACCCTAGATATCCTTTAATTTATTTAGAACCTGGAGAGGATTGGTGTCTTTAGTTTAGCTTATTTTAAATTTCTCTCCCTTATTCCTGTTTACATGTTCAGTCTTTAGAGCTAGTAGTGTTTCAGTAGGCTATACAGAAAAATCGGATTGATTGGCACAACAGAAAAAAATTCTATATGAAGCAGCAGAGATTCCAAGGGAAGTAATTTTATTAAAATTATGAAAGCACAGTTATATCCTTTGTCTCTTGCACATTTCAGACCATGTAATCTGTATCGACTATATTGATGGAGCAACATAAGAAAAAAGGTGAGGAGTAAGGAGAAGCACGGGTGTGAATTGTCTATATAAAGCTGTTTCCTCAGCTAGAAATCATAGTTTTATCTTCTCCAGTTGTTCTGCATTTTTTAGTATCAGAAGAGGAAAACTCAATTAAAAATGCTTGGAGGGATTTGACAAAATCTTAACTATATATGTGCTGTTCATTCATCTTTTCCCTGGATTTCTGTTTACAATCTCCTGTTAACAGTTCTGTGTGGTCAGAGGTTAACTACTTCTCAGCAGGTACAAAACAAATATGGCCAAACCAGTTGTGAATGGAAATTTGCTGTTTTAGACAACACAGCTCAGATAGAATTACAGTGCATTAGTATGCACAGATGTAAATAGATATGGTAAGTGCCCATACAGCTGCAAAAATACCCCAACATCTTGGACAGTCTATTCCTATGGAGTAGGTAAATCAGTCTTACCTCTTGTGATACCAACTGGCTCTCAGGCTGGAAACTGGTCAATACTGAAAAACAGAAATTACATCTTCCTTCTTATTTTTACACAGAATCCCAAGAATAAGTCACAGGGCAAAAAATATGCAGGTGACTTGAAATCAGAAAGAAAATCTCTAATGACAGAGACTGTCCTTTGATAAAAAACAGTTCTACAGGCAGAAGGAATGCAGTTGGATTCTGCCAGCACCCAGCCCTCCATAGTCTTACCTTGAAGCTTTCCGTGGAGACAGAACAAACTTGTCCTACCAGCACTTTTATAGGTTCTGGTCTGCACATACAACTTGCCTCCTCCTCTTTCTTAGGTCAAAAATTTTTGGCAAAGCATTGTTTGGCAAACTCAACTGAGTGCATGATTTCCATTTGTGCTCGTGGATATATTTAGAAATATTTGAAGTCTCACTAGCTATGTGAATAAATCTCCTATAAATATTTTGACTAGGAATCTGAAAGGAGGAAGTGCTATCCAGCAAGTAGAGCAGGACGCTGGGGCTTGGAATTGTTGGCTTCTCTTCTCCTGACTTGGAATTTCTGTTTGACATACAAGATTTGTGTTTCTCAGGACTCAGCAGTAGTGAGAAGGATTAGTATTACAAAGAGCTTTGGGGAGATTCTATTCTGAAATATTCTGGAAATAAAGAATAAGACCATCTAATATAATTACATCTTTTACCTTCTTCTGAAGTATTAGAAATTGGCTATTTGAAATTGGATTTTAAAGGTTTTGCTTTGTTGTTCTTCATATCTGGCTGTGGTGGTTTGCTCAGATGTATGTCTAACAGAAGTTTTGGTAAGGTCAAATTAGCCTTCACTACTGGCATTTTGCATCCTTTGTCTTTAGGTTTATTGGTAGTTTTAACACACCATTTTGCTGCTATTTTAGAGACCTTGGACAGTGGCTATAGTTACCAAACGCAAGAATGGGGTTTAGATCATAAACATATCTCCTCCAGCTTTCCCAAGCACAAACACAATCTTCACAGAAATTCAGAGAACCTTCCCCCCCCCCCAACAATCCAGTACAAATTCTATGTATTCCAGGTAGATTTATTCTACAAGAAGCTTTGTTCAACAGAATGTATTAACAAAGGTAATATAAAACTCACATTAGGAATACAAATCTACATCAAGAAGGAAGTTTTTTCTTAATCTTAAAATGCCTTGTCATTTCTAAAACAAACAAACAAACACACAAAAACAACAACAAAAGGATCATTAGTTTAAGCAAAATACAAAAAGATTTAGGTTGCTGTTTACACAGAGGAAGAAGAGCACTTGACTTGCTCTGATAAATCAGTGACAGTGCACTGTGTCTTAAAACAGGCATGTTGCTTTGCTGTGTACAAATAAGTTTAAGTAGTGCAGATAGCTTTTAAACTAAGCATGATAGTTCTCAGTGAAGGTGAGTGTTAGGTAAACCTGGGAAGAGATGCATTAAGTAACTGGAAAAAAACCCCAAACCACTCACATGACATTTAGCAATCCACAGGGAATTTTAAGGATATGCCACTTCAGGGAGTGTGGTGTGGCCAGAAAGTTTGTCTTGTGGGAAGGATGTATGTGGGAAAAGACACAAGTAGTACACTCTAGCTGCTCTAGATAATAAAAGTTTGAGATTCATGAGGTGTCTGAGAATACCTTCTGGGTCCTGCAGAGCTGTCATTTCCTTTGCAAATAATTAAGTATGATCTGCTATTTGAAGTCCTTCTATGGAGCAAGGTTGATGTACTGTGATTCTGTACCATATTCTGAAAGATCATATTCTTCCTTGAATGCCTGGGAGGTGAAGTACTGTAGGAAGGGTCAGAGAGATGACCAGTCTTCTCAATTCAGTGCTTTAAAGAACTTATTTATATTTCCAGTGCTGTATGTATAACTGAAACATCTGAGATCAAGTGTTCTTTTATGAGGCTTCCAATGTCTTTCTGAAGAATAAATACATAGATTTTGTAATTTCTGTTTCAAAAGTAACATTGAGTATGTGTAGAAATGTCATTGAAGAAAATGAAAAGGTCTTATTCATCCTCTAGCATGCAAAACAGGATAAAGGGAGAGAAAGAAATGATAGATCTTCCCCTCTTCTAATGCATTACATAACTGTTTCATAAAGAGCAGATTTGACTGATTTTTATCTGACACATGAAATTAAGCTGGATCTGTATTTTTTGGATAGACTTGTCTCTGAGTGTTGATATAGTGACTTCCAACTTGGGCAGAAACTGAAAGCTTATCAGTTGAAATCTATATAGCTGTAAAAAAAAATTCTCATCCTTTTATTTCTGATCAAGTCTCTGTCATCCTGGCAATAACCAATTTTACAGTCATGACTGTGTTTATGTGTCCAGTAGTAGCTGCAAAATGATTCTTTATATTTCAGCTTCCTTCTTGGGTCCTCTGCTCATGTTAATTAAAGAGGATGACTTAGATTCCAGTACACTGGTTCAAAGATCGCACTTGCAGTATATCATCCTCTCTGTCAGTTGGACATCTTGTATTTTGTTTCACCTCCTAGGGCAATGGGAATCATTTGGGAAGGCAACAGATTCAAGAGGGAATGACAGATGACTTGATTTTCTGTTCCCTGTGTTTTAACTTCTCTTGCTAGAAAACTGTTAGTAGAGAACAGCCTTCTACAATGCATGGCTTTCATCTGCCTAGGTCAGGAAATAGCACCTCACACATATTCCCCCAATAGTGAGTACACCATCAGGTCCCAAAGCCATCCTGAGGGCTTGAATTCTTGTGGAATAACTTGTCTCTCCACCTGGCTCAGAAAAGTGAGAATAGGGAGACTAACCAGTCTGGAAAGAAATTCTACCCATTACCTCTCTAGAAAGAGGACTTGCCAAGGCAGAAACATTTCTCCACACTTTGCTGTATAAGAGGTGAGGTGCTCCTCTTACCCCTATCCTGATCCTCAGCCTGCTGAGGAGGTAAAGTGCAATAAGTGAGCTGTTCCTCCTTTTACCAGGATGATTTAGCCCACAGTTCCCCCTTCCATCTGCTGAGTAAGACTGATTCTACCCAGGGTGTTAACATCAGATCAGAACACAGCGGACAGTTACAGGTCACAGAAAGCATCTTCAGACCCAGCCAGGAAAGACTGATGTGGTCTTCAATATCAAATTTTGTGTTCCCGAGGAGACTCTTAGAAAAGCAAGGCTATGGTCAGATAAAGGCTTTCCTAAAAAAGGTCACTACCCTACACTCAACACTTTCTGGGTCTAAATTAGTTGCTGGAATGGAAAGGCACAACTATCAAAAGTTGGTTTAGGAATTTTTCAAGCTGAAGCATCTTTCTTGTTTTCATGGTGCATTGATGTTTTTTTCCTACAGCCAACAACATCAGGGTGCAATAGAGAATGAACAAATGCTATGGCAGCAGTAGACAATGTCATAATGCAAGTATCTGTAGGATCTAAGTCAAATCTGGCCAGATCCATAGTATACCCTCAGATTTGAATTGCTATTGCTTGCAGTAATCTCTGTAATCTTCAATGCCTAGAAAAGAAGAAAATAACAAGATATTATTGCAAAAAAGTGATAGTTTAATGATCTGTGAATTCTATGAATACTTTTTTCACGTTTGTGACATTCTTATGCTCCCATTAAACTCAAGATTTTTACAGAATTTGTTAAACTGGGATGGTATAGTGTCAACTTGCATTTCAGCCATTTCCTGTTATTTTTAAGTTTTGGAAAAGACAGCATAAAGTTTTTTCACTTACGGATGGGAAAAAGATTCATAAATGCAAAGGAGTGATGGTTCTGCATCTCCTGTGCTTGATTGTTGAGGTGGACTTCATGCTACTGGCCAAGTCATTGATTTCAAACTTAACTCACCTTTCTCCTTTTTCAGTTTCTGCTTAAGTCTTTGAAGATTTTGCTCCCCAAATTAATCTGTCTGCAGCAAAAAGAGAATAATAACTTCACAGAAACACAGAAATGTCGGTGATAAAGGAACTCTGGAGGTCCCTAGTCATGTTTTCCAGTCATGAAAACATCCTAGCTTTCTCAAAAATCTGTTGCCATGGTGCACTGTTACTGAAAAACAAT